TATATATATAAAACACCATCACATAAATTGGGATTGAGAGTAGTAATTTACTAATTTTTGTTTGCCTGAATCTTCAATTTTCTTAGCTGTTATATATATATATATCTTGCCTTAGTTTCCATTATTTTTCTTGGACAGACATCAGATTGTCAATTCAATGTTACTAACCTAGTGTGCATTTGGTACGGGGACAATGTTTTACCCTGGGAAATAATTAGTGTTTGATTGGGCTTAATAATGATCCCGTGACATTTTTTTGGTAGGAAAGATTGATAACATTGGTGGAAGCGAGTGATATGGAATAAAAGTTGAGATTTTTGTACATTTCAGTGAAATTTTATTCCTTTGGCCCAAAGCTTTGGTCTAGTGGTAAAACCGCAACTTGTGATGTAGGGGTTAGGTGCATCTCGCATGTTTTAACAGTGCCACAAACAAAAATTTGGTATTTAAGTGGAGAAGGATAGAGGGGCGGGTGCATGATCCATCGCGTTTCGAACCGTGTGCCACTGGCCCCAGGGATTTATTGTTTATCAAAAAATATTATTCCTCAGAACAATTTAAGGCGACCAAATATCATAAAATGATTTCATAAAGGAAGGAGTTTTTCGTCATACAAACACTCCCCTTAATTGCATCATTTTACTGTTAGAATTTGGTAAATTCAGTACTAAAAAGATCTTAAGCTAGCTATTTTGTTGTTATTATGAAACAGCAATGTTAACTGTGAATGATGATGAGTTCTGGGAAGGAGTATCACCTCTTGAATTTGGGGATTTGCCTGCACTGCAAGATGCTGTAACTGTTGTTGGATACCCTATAGGAGGAGATACGATCTCTGTGACTAGCGGTGTTGTCTCGCGCATTGAGATACTATCTTATGTTCATGTGTCGACCGAGCTCCTTGGATTGCAGGTTATGTTTTGAAGTTTCTCCCTTCCTGCAGATATTTTCTTTAATATGATATGTGGTTTTTATTTCCTTAATTTGGTTGCTATGGTTTTAATTCGGTGAGATTATTGTGCAGATAGATGCTGCCATCAATTCTGGAAATTCTGGTGGACCTGCATTCAATGATAAGGGGAAGTGTGTAGGTATTGCATTTCAATCCCTTAAGCATGAAGATGCCGAGAACATCGGTTATGTCATACCAACTCCAGTAATTATGCATTTCATCCAAGATTATGAGAAGAATGGAGCATATACAGGTACATGAAAATTCCAATAACATCTTGAACTTGATTAAATTGATGGTCTCAAAGTGCAAACTTATGTCTTATATGGGCTTCTCCTACATTGTAGGTTTTCCTGTCATTGGAGTTGAATGGCAAAAAATGGAAAATCCCGACCTCCGCAAGTCGGTTGGTATGGCACATAATCAGAAGGGTGTCCGGATCCGAAGAGTTGAGCCTACGGCTCCAGAATCTAATGTTCTAAAGCCTTCAGATGTTATCCTTAGCTTTGACGGAGTTGATATAGCCAATGATGGAACAGGTGAACACTGATTTCATCCCAAATTAGACATGTTTGAGACAGTTCTCTTAATATCAATGTGCTTCCTATTGAAATGATAGATTTATATTTTAGTCCGGCTTCCCCCTCGTCCCCTCACTCTCCTTTCCCTAATATGAACCTTGAGTCATCAAAGCCTTTCTGACTCGGCCTGGCCCGGTCGCCCTACGCGACTGGCGCTTCAAAGGGCGAAACTCTGGGTCGTAGTTTGCGACATATTTTCAGTAGGGGCCTTTAGTCTATTGATTAGAGTAGGGGTTGCGCGGGTTTCATTACTTTTCTTCCATTCCGTCGCAGAAAGAAAAGGATATATAATGATCGATTTGTACATTTCTCGAAAGAGTTCCTCGAGAGGACCATGCCCTAGCCAGTTGTCAACCCTAAAGGTTTTTCTTCTGACCGTTTCCAATACCGAAGCCAATATTAGCAACAAAAATAGGCCATTGCTGTCTGATGGTTCTCCAAATGCTCACCCCAAATGAAGTTTTCACTGGTTTAGTACACTAGTGACCCTCTTAACCACACTTTTGATTTGTCATCTGCCTCCATAAAGGTTGTTCTTCACAGTCGTGTCTCCATAACCATTCTAGTAGCAGACACTTATTATGTACCCTTTAATTCCTTGTACCGGGACCACCTTCTCTTTTGCTGTTGTATTATGGCCGCTAGATTCTAGGGCCATTTTTGTATGTTAAACATGTTTAGCTTATGAGTCAAAAGTAAGTCTTTCTTAAATCTCATGCCTAGTCAAATATCATCATGTAAAATAAAACAGTGGGAGTATGAA